CTTAGTTATGGGTTTAGATAAGGAAGTTTCCTCCTCTCTTTGTGAGATGAAACAGCAAATCAATTGATGATGATCACGGGTTAAGGATGACCCTTTTGGGGCAATTTCTCTTGGGCCTTCTGTTTGTTCCAGCAAGGACCTCTGATTGTTGCCTGACCACAGAAGCCCCAAGCCACTGTTTGAATTTGATCTATCAGCACTACATAAATGAAAAGTGCAATTCAAACACCATTTTTATGAAGTTGAGGACCCCTAATGGGTGAAAGTCTTTTTTCCGTCCTTGTTATCTTGAAAAGAAACATAAAAATAAACTTCTGAGATGCGGCCTATGCGGTGATACGGAGGCTTGATTTTTTTGGCTGGTAGCTCCACGGGTTCAGTTCCACGGCCTTCAAGGGGGCAGATGATTCTTGTTGAGGCATATCTTTGCATGGATAAAGGTAAGGTCCGAGGTTTTGGACAATTGGGATCATGATGACAGATGTGAAGGACGAGGCCGCCCCAACTAACCAACAAGGAATTTTCCCATCTGAGCGTCCTGACTAGATCTGAAAGATCTCGACGCACTCGAGGCATGCTGCGTCGAGCAGGTGGTCCAGTGGGAGGTTCGAATTCAGCCTGAGCCCCGGCCACTATCCGTCGAGTAGTGGCCTGCCTGGACCCCGCCCCGAAGCTCATACAGGCTGCCCGGACCCCGTTTGGGGTTTTTTTTATAAAACTGGGCGCCCGGATCCCGACCGAGTAACTCGACGGATACTCGAGCCATGGGCCAAAAAAGGTAAGTTGCCCGTGTTTCGAACACTGGACCAGGGCTTCCGCCGTAAAGTCGGACATCAAGCAGGCTTTGTACACCTCATGGTCCCTAAAGTCTCTGAACCAGATACTGCTAACGTGACTCTGCATCGTTAGAAGCTCATCCTTTCATCTATTGATCTTTTTTTTGCCCTTGCAGACTCCAGAGATTTACAAATAAATCTTAAATATATAATCAATTTATCAATGCAAGCAAATTAGGTTAGGATTAGGGTTACTCCACCATATCCTCACCAAATCACCCGGCATCAATTCACATCACCGATTCCACCGGAACACCAAAAAGTTAAAACAAAGTTACAAAGTTTGAAAATCTCATTCTGAAATCAAGATCTTCAAAAATTTACCTTAAAGTCATTCTTCGTCAACCAATTAGAAGAAACTTACAGAGTTAGTTCACTGTTCCTTTCTTACCAGTTCGTAGTGATTAATATTATCGATTCTTGAGGATGATTGATCACTTTTCCTTATTACGTGTCTTTTCCTTATTACTCGAAATGATTATATATCTTTTTTTTCTTTTTTTAATCATCCTACTCTTACTGATTACCTTTATCGCTCTTCGATTAGTTTTAAATATGTCTCAAATCAACACTAGCAACGTTTCTTCACAAGCGACCACTGTTGATTTAACATCTGAACCGGATACTGCTCATACCGCGAATTCAGATGCTTTAGCTGCAGCTCTTTGTCCAGCAAGCTATGTCTGGATTCATTTTGTCAAGCTCCGAAATCGTCAAGTCAACAAATGTCGCGTTATACTGCCTGATGGATCTCAATGTGGCAAGGAATTGAAGCGCGACGATACCGGCAGTACGAAATCGATGAAGAATCATCTCGAGTCCAAACACGGAATCCAAGATGTCAACCTTCCAAAACAAACTGACATCCTTGCTGCTTTCAAAAAGGTGAAGACCGATCATATGGTAAGTACCATATTTTAATTGTTTCCCTTTGTCTCAGAACGTATCACTTACTATAAGATTTCCAACAGCGTAAACTTGATGCTACCAGCCTTATGACAGCTGTCTCGTACTTTGTGGCCGACTGCGACCTTCCTTTTTCTGTTGTCGATCGAAAATCCTACCGAGAACTCTTGACCCTTTGCAATCAACAAGTCAATGGAATGCTTGTCAAGCGTCATTCAATTGCTCAACACACTCGCAAGGTATATTACTATTATGAAGAATACATCAAAAAACAATACTTGTTTGTCTCTCCAGCTATTGCTATAACTCAAGACGCTTGGACTTCACCAAACAATCTCCCCTTCATGTCACTCACCGGGCATTTCATCACCAAAGACTGGAAATTGATGGATATTACCCTTGGTATTGCCGAGATTAAGGGTGAGTTTTCATATCATCTAATATTTTTTAATTTATTTCACTATTCATAACTAACAGATTCCTCTTCCCAGGTACTCACGATGCAAGCACGTTTGCGAACATCATCCACGAGTATTTGAAAAAATACTCCCTTACTCGGAAGTTGACCGCGATGACCGCAGACAATGTTGGTACGAACGCGGTGATAGGCCGAAAGCTCAGCATGTTACCTGAAGTTACTTTCGATCATACGACCCAAGTCCACGGATGTGTGGCGCACGTCATCAATCTCGCTGCCAAAGAAGGCCTCAAAGAATTTGGAGTATCCGATTTTGAAGAAGGTGAACCTCCAGCAAACACGATGGACGTTCGCAACCTTGTAGACCCACCGGATGTCCTTCTATTCAACCTCAAGACAATTTATGCCCGGTGCCATGGACTTGTCAAGGCAACGAGGTCCAGTCCGCAATGTGCCCAAGTGTTCGCCAACGTCGTCCAAATGGTTCAACAGCTTGCGAACACACTTGACGACGATGATGGACCTCTTACTCCCCGTGTGGTCAACCATCAAGATTTGGAAGCTGTTGAGTACATGATGAATGACTTGAACCGAGAAGAAAATCAGTCTATGCCACAACATCGTGATGGAGCTGCAAATCGATTGGTTCCTGATGTACCCACCCGCTGGAATTCCTCTTATTATATGTTTCGAAGGCTCCTCCGATTACGTCAAGCTTGCGATGAATTCTGCAAGGCCCGTGATTTTAAAAAATTTGCTCTTTCACCTGCAGAGTGGGACTATGTAGAACAAATGTGCGACTTTTTAGAACCACTCAGTGCTGCAACTGAGATGCTTTGTCGATCTAATTTCCCGACGATGCACCAAGTAGTGCCTATGTAAATTGTAGTGATTCAAGGACTCAAATCGGTCAGTTTATTTTCTCTTTTCATTTTATCTCAATAACCTTTCCTAATTTTAAGATTGTTTTGATCTTGCAGGTAGCTCAGAAATACGATCACAATCAGTTAATTCCTGCTTCAAAGAAGATGATAGTGAAGTTGGAAGAATACTTCAAGAAGGTCCTTTCAAAACCTGGTCCTATCTGCACGACTATTCTTGATCCACGCCTCAAATTACAATACTTTCAAGTAAGTCGAAGAGATCTTGTGATTCCACCTATGTAGTTTGTACTGATCATATTCTATTAACTTTGAAAATAGGATCGAGAGTTGATAATGAGTGATTATGATCTACTCATTTCAGACATCAGATCAATGTTTGATAACGAAGCAAGGAAGTTCGAGCATCCCCCACCCAAAGTTCAAGTGATACCAAGTAGAAAACCTACCTCTTCAACTCATCAGTACTTTGAAGATGCGATCTACGGAGATCGCCACAACCAACGTGATCAATCGATTGGTACCGAGATCAGTCGCTATTTGTCTGAACTTACCGAACCGCGAGAGTCAGACGTTTTGGCCTATTGGAAATCTCGCGAGGACATATATCCTGCGCTGGCCAAGATGGCCATGACTTTTCTAGCGATCCCAGCCACTAGTTCTCCCTCTGAGGGGGTTTTCAGTAAGACTAAGAACATTTTAGGTCCTCAACGTGCTTCCCTGTCCTCTCTTAATGTGGAGGTACTCTTGTGCCTCAAAGACTGGTACCGTACCTTTGGTCCATTGTTTATTGTAGATCCCAATGTGGAAGATGCGGTTTCCAGCCAGTGATTTTTGTCATTTCTCTTTTTTTTTATTTTCATTTTTTCCTTCCGGACTGCTATTATGATTTATCTACTATACATGATAGATGAAAGATTTATATCCCCTGAAAATTATATCCCCTGAAATGCAACTACAGTGGGTAAACCCGAGTACGTGTTCCAAGCCAGTCCGCATAGAGGTTTGGGTCCGAAATTTTTGAGAAATTTTTGCCATTTTTTCTGCTTTTTTTGGCGGGAGAGTAAGGTTGAGGGGTGGTGTTAGGCTGCAAAACTTTTGGTTTTTTTTGAAAAAAAAGCAAATTTGGTTGTTATTTGCCACTTGAGCAGCCATATTCATTAAATTATAGGCCTAGTGCGCTGCTAAGTAGCTAGATAGGTACCTAATTGAGGCCTAGGTCCGAAAATCCAAACCTCTAAAAGAGTAAAATCATATTTTTGGTCTCCAAAACCATATTCCTAGATTCATCAAAGCAATGCCTTTTCAATGGTCTGGGTGCCAGTCTCAAACATTCAAATTGAGTGCCCCGACATTGACCCGAAAGGTGAAATTTGATTTTGCAGGGCAGGTCGGAACACGTACTCGGGTTTACCCACTGTATCCGCCGGGTAACCCGGTGGAACTTAGGTTTTCCAACTCCCTCGCCCGGACCCCGACTCGCGGGGATCCCCGACCATGAGAGATCTCCAGACCCTCGCCCGAAGACCGGACCGATCGGGGACCCCGTCGGGGCCCCGATCGGGGACCTCTTTCGGGGCTCGGGCTGAGTTCGAATTGATCTTACTTGGCACAAGTCGCGGTGGAGACGACGCCCCATACATCTGCAGGACACCTTGCGCTCCTCCTTACTAGCAGATCATCATCCCGGCCATTATGCCATACTTTCTGAAACCACATGGGGAAAGAACCTCTCGTTCAAGCCTTTGCATCGATCAGAGCTGCTCGGGGGCTCGATCAGCATCATATCGAAAATTGGCTGTGGAAGATCAAGATCGCTGGCCAGCACTGGCCCCGAAAATAGCTAGGATGGCCAATGCGTGCGAGACCATCAATCCGTCACTGTCAGGAGGATTCAAATGGAGTTTCGTTTAAGCTTCACTAGTCTTGTTTGAGGTTTCGTTGAATGAAAGTTGAAACCGATAGAACACCTCCTTGGCTATAAGCAGCTATAAGCCCCTTATTACATCAAAGATAAACATATTTTCAATAAGAGATCGATCAAAACTTCTCAGTTATCCTATTCACTCTTTTCGACTTTTTCATAAAACAAATTTGCTTACTTGCCTGTTATCTGAATCATCAACTCAACAAACAATGGAAAAGTCTGATCCAAAACCTGATAAGCTTGCATTCACAGATGAAGAAATTGTCGCTTTGAAGGGCTTTTGGACCCACCTTTTTGATTTGTTGGATTTGAATTCAACAAACAGACCTGCTGACTCACCCATTAACAATGAAATGAAAGAACTGATTTCGAAACATGGACCAGAGCGATATGCTGAAGCGCTTTGGAGGTTTACTATGGTAAGTCCCACATTTCGCTCGTGAACCATGACGAACTTCTTCTCGGAATCGTTTGTTGAGTCGCGGGAGAATCAAGAGAGATTGGATCTAATGAGTTTCATCTACTTTCAAGCTCGATGATCCAGACTACACCGTCATCAGATTTATACGTGCTCGAAAGTTGAATGTTAAGGATTCTGTCAAGATGTTTATCGAGTGTTTGAAATGGAGAATCGAATCTGATATAGATGGACTGATGGCGAAAGGTGCTCATGGAATCATCAACCAAGAAGGTTATGATGGTGCAGCTTTCTTGCTTCAGATCACATCTGGCAAAACCTTTGTACAAGGATTTAGCAAGATCGACGGTCCTGTCTCTTATATATTTCCTCGTCTTCACAAAACCTCCGATCAGAGTGTAGAGGTGATGACAGGTATGCTTGCATTACTTCACATTCGAGAAGGCCTCAGTGAGTGGGTTGGATTTGATACATTGTCTATTTTTGTTTGATTCTAGATTTCATCAACTATGCTATGGAAAATGTACGCATGTTCACTACCAACCTTCGTGCGAAGAAAATCGCTATCTTTGATCTGAAGTGAGCACATTGCTCATCTTTAAACAATTTGCCACTTCTGACTGATCCCATCGATGAACCTTTTTAGAGGCTTTGGACTTGCTAACATGGATTGGAAGGCTGTGATTTATTTCAACAAATGTCTCGAGGCTTATTACCCTGAGGTAGGCTTGAACCTGTTTAACCCTTTTCACCCCTTGTGGAACAATCCTGATACTCAGTGATCGACCATTTAAACAGTCCTTGAAACTCTTGATCATCCACAACGCTCCATGGGTCTTTCATGGAGTTTGGAAAGTCTTGGCTCCGATGCTTGATCGTACGTATATCCTACTGACTTCGATTATGCAGGCTGTATTTGTGATGCTCATATTGCATTTCGTTATGTTTGATCGACATAGCTATTGTACGCTCGAAGATCGTCTTTTCCAAGTCTAGTCAAGACTTGCTGATGCATATCGACAAACGTTACCTACTCAAAGAATTTGGAGGAGAGTCTACCTGGGTACCATATCATCGTGATTCCTCACCTTCTCAAGAATTAGATCAAACTAAGAAAGAAGAATTATTAAATGAGAGAAAGGAGCTGGTAGCAAAGTACATAGAATTGACTAATCAATGGACAGATCAAGGTTCTACCACAGAGGCTGAATTAAGAAGCTTTCTTGCCTTGATGATGAGAGCTCAAGGTCTCTTACTAGTAAGTCCGATACTATGAATTCTATTCCTTTTATTCTGCCTCGCGATCTATCATATTTCAGATTACTCAATACAAACCCACATTTTTCAGGATCCATATCTTCGCGCTAAGACTTTCTACCATCATGAAGGAAACCTGTTACCGACTGGTCTTGTCGGGTTTTGCTCAGAGGCAGAACACACAGATTGGGAGTATAGGGGACAGGCATGGTCTAGAGAAGAACTCTTAGCAAAGCTTGAAGATATGAAGACTAAGTTTATTGGAAATGGAGTTGAATATCCTATCTTTAACCTAAAATGATCGAAAATTGCTTTGCATGGGTTAGCCTCTGGATTGATGAAGTTTGCTGTAAGAAGGTTTTGGCTTTGTCATTCAACTTGTATAGAATTTGTTTCATTTTCTATCATTTCTCATTTCTCTATCATATGCTTGTTGCTGAAGGATTTGTTCGTTCTTAACATTCGTTTTGTCAAACTTGTGTAATTGAATTGTCACATTGGAAACTTGTTTGAAGATCCGCAATGCCTCCCTTTCAAATCTTCTTCCCTGCTGCTAAGGTATCTTTCTTCGGCTCCTTTTTTCTCTCTTAGCTTTTCGCCGAGATATCTCTCTTTTCCCTTTTCGAACTTGACTCGTCATGATTGATAAATAAAAAATGTCCACCAACAAATCTGGCCCAATTCACAACAGCTGGCGAACCAGAAGACGCAACCATAAACAAAAGGCATTTCTGAAAGACAAGAGAAGAACCACGTCGAAAGCACCGCCAAGGAAAGTAGGTAGAGCAAAGAAAGATGAAACTGAGGATACCGAAACTGAAAGCTTTTGATCCAATCATCAGAACCATACCCAGCGCGTGGCCATGACATGGTCGTCATTGATCTGTCGCAATCCTCCTCTTCGAGTGAGTGTAGGTCGGATAGTGTCACCTGCGTAGCAAGAGTACGATTGGTAACAAGGATGGTGATACAACTTCATTCACCTTGCCTGACAAGCTTGACTCGGAGTCGAGAGGTCTACGACGATAAACATGTGATCACAACTTGTAACAAAATCAGATCAAACAGCCTGCTTGTTTGCTACAGTTCCAAAATTCCCCCCATACAAAAAGCTAGCTCCCCATAACGCCCTAGTCATGATGCTTTGAGGTTCATTGGGTCCATGAGTTCCTTCAAGGCTGCAGAAGCAAAAAGATTCACCTGGTACTGGGAGTCGAACCCAGGTTACCAGGACATCAGGCGCAATCAAAACCTGGTGTCCTAACCACTAGACGATACCAGGGATGTCACGTGACCTGTTGTTGGCTTTACGATGTGACATGTGGCTGACAGACAAGATGTTCATGAAGAAGACGCGGTAATCATGCTACAAGCATCAAATTACAGAAATCTGGATTGAAGCTTGAGTTGAAGGCCTCATCCGATATCAGGCAATGCAAAAGAGACAGGTATAAGTTGCGCAGACAAAGGAATATGAGGCACCATAGGGAAAAATTGATTGGGACGAGAAAGAGAACGAAACGGTATGAGAACATGTTCGATAAGAATGATGCATTGGCTTTAGAGAGTTATATCTCCAAACAAACTAAAGCGGATTTATCAACATGATATCTAAATAACTTGATGTTATATTTGGTTTTGGCTTTCATTTCAGATTTATTCATGTACATTTCGAAGAGAAAAAAGGAAGACTACAAAAAGCCTCACTATTCGTTATCTTGTAAATCAAATCCGACAAGCCATAAACCAACGGTCTTACTCTTTATGCCCGTCTCGAGTTTTTCAATAGAAATCCTGACAAATAAATTTGTGTACTAAAATACAATCTGTTTGGTATGTATGAAAAGACAAGGATATCTGCTTGAGAAGTGAATGGAGGATTTGAGTAAAAAATGATGATGCTTGAAGAATATGTCAGACATCAAAATGAGTGATGATAAAATGTGAATCTGGAAAAAGCGGAGTTGGGGAAGCACCGATGATAGGATCACAACATGTGCTAATGTAGGTAAATTGTTGAACACCTTGTTGCTGAATAAGAATCAGATGGTTCAATGAGATATCCAAGCACTATGGAGGTAAGAAAAGGAATACTTGAAGTTTTAAAAGGAATACAAAGAAATACGAAGGAATACAGGATGAGGATGGATTCGAATGGGTATGGAAGATGGATACTTTCGAATGGTTGAGTTGTGGGATTCGGTCCAATTGTTTTCAGTTTAGTTGGTTTATCATGATAATTGGAACGAGTTGATGTGAATTTGAACGCAAATTGAATGTGATAGGAATCGTGCGTAGGCTACAAAAAATTGTTAATGGTATCAGTCTCGGATGTAAATGAGCACACTAGAGAGATAACGAAGCCAGACATACCATCAATCATCTTGATCAACCCACAATAACAGCTTCAACGTCATCGTCATCCAGTCGACTAATTTATCTAGTGAGTGGAGAAGGTTCTAATGGTTTGAAATTCTTTTGAGAACGAGACCTTGAACGCCTTGGTAAGATTGAGATCATTTCAGGTGTAATTCTATAAGTTTGACGATCATCAATCATAGGTAATGTTAAATGTCTAAATTCGATGTGATCACTCATTACAGTCTGCAGTGTCAAACGTGATGCTTTTAAATATCCTGATGACATTCTTTGTCTTCTTAATGGTGAGAAATGTTTGATAGATGGAAAGTGACTTGGTACGTATAAAGCTCTTTCGAATACTACTCTAGACATCTTGATATAGGTTTTGAATTGTTTTTTCTTGTGTGGGTAAAAAACTGGAGGTATATTGCCGGTTGAGAGAAGTTTTAAAAGGTATGAAGAATTGATCGTAGAGGTTTGGAAAGGTTTGGTTAGTTGAGAGGAATGAAGATAAATGTAGGGGCAAGAGCAATGGTTCGAAAGGGTTTTATGAGTGGAAATTGAGATGGCGGGGTTCAATTTAAAGACGTGCTGGCAGCTGACTATCAAGGGCCCACCTGAGCTTACACTTCAGCCGTACTGGTCAATACGTCTGGAAAATCGGTAGTTGCCGTTTAGGTTGTGATGAGGTAATTAAATTCTCAGACAACTGATTTAAGATGGCTTGTCTGGAGCCTTTTCAATATTCGCGCAGTCTATTTTTTTCTTGGTATCCTTAAAGGCTCACATAATAATTGACGAAAGCCGTTGAGATTGATGAGCGCCACGTGTGAGCTGATAACTCAACGCGTCCTTTTTTTAAAGTGCTTCTGGCTTAATTGCATACAACACTATGTATCTAAGCAGTTTACAAGTAGTAGGACTAGCACACCTAGAGAAGACGGCCATCTAGTCGACAACATGAATAATCTTTGATCTTGAAGCTGAAGAAGACACTTGAAAATCCCAAGCTTATTGCTTGCCTCCTTATTACGTTTTTTTAATCCATCTTTAGGCTTTTAGCCCACCCGCAGGAAAGCGATGGACCCCTAGCATCAATCTGCTTTAGAGATAGATGTTAGAGTAATTAGACTCAAGAAACTTCTTGCGTACTCCGTGAAGGAAAACTGTCCAAGTTGGTGTTTAGAGCTAGTATGAAGAACAACCTGTGCGATATATGTCTCGAACGCCTGTGGTCCCAAGACGGTATGTACTTGGAGGTCGCCGAACTCGACGCGTCCTTCTTGGACAAAAGTATCGCAAAAGTGGAGGGAGTTCATGGGTGGTCGGTACTTCGGCGCCACCCGTATCTAGGGCGGAGCGGGAATCCGCATGGAGCTGTACCGGGTGCAAATGTATGCGGCCTTGACTAAAAAAGCGGGTTTAAGAGCATCCCCAGCCGTGTGCCGTAAACCGTGACGTACAAGTGAGGCCGGATA